GCCCCACTATTCATGTGAACAGTGTTGTACATTGTTCACGTGAACAGTGTCACTGTACCAAACAAAATCAAACTAACAGTGACACTATTCGGGTGAATAGTGCAGGTGTCACTGTTCGAGATTTTTTTTTAAAGTCTACATAAACATAGACCCGTTCTGATACCATTATGTAACGACCCAAAATTTACAATAAAATAAGTAAGAGAGTCGTTACCAAAAACTTCATTTTATTTAATATGAGCTATTCCAAATAAAAATAGATTTTATCTCATATCATAGTCTACAAACAAGATATCGACTCATTAATAAATGCATCTAAATTAAATACTAAAAATAAAATTTGATTCACGTTACACCGAATTTAATGTGTTTATTCCAAATAAAATAATCTCGGCACCATGACCGCACCTCATCGCCTACCAACTAACGACCAGTTCAATCTTGTAAGAGTGGGGAAAATGGTGAGTATATGAAAATACTCGGTAGGATACGATTATTGGTGCAATCCCGATTAAAAGTGTTAGATCATGCGTGAAAATATCATACCGTCATATCATATATCTAAAATCGGTAAGAGCTCATATCATATCATATCTTTGGTACCGGATGGCCATTTCATATCATATCATATCATAACTTTCATGAGCATAATATTTATCAACATGAAGAAATAATTTAAATGGGAAGAACCACTTCCACCGCATAATCCTACCTCGATAGATAAAACAGTTTTGCTTGGAAGCAAAAAACAAGAGGTTCGCATTCCCAAAAATCATTATTCTCTGTTTGTGGTGTTGCAGCCACTGTATGCAAATATATAAATTTTTCTAGGATAAATAATAAAAACCCTTGTATGGTATTTATAGTTGAGAGGGAATATTAAAAGCCTAAAAATGTGTCAACTGGCTTGCCCATTTTCCGTAAAAATTCTTAGTCAATTGTCACTCCTTAAGAAACGTGTGGCACGTCCATATCACTCCTCCCAAAACCAAGGTAATTATCCCTTTTCAATCTCTAAAATCAAGGTAAATAAATATTAAAATAAACCAATCCTTCTTATCATTTCTACAAGTGTCCACAAGTCAAAAACATGATAATCTCATACATGTGGCAGCATCACCTTTTTCATTCTAATCATCATTTTTTTATTTGTAAAAATGTAATGTACAAAATAAATACATTTTTATTCTAAAATTTGCGGGGCGCTACAAAAGCGGTGCTTCCAGGGTAGACATTGCTTCTTCAAAAATTATTGGGTCATTTTCTACCATGTAGGTTAGAAAATTCAGACCAAATGATGTGGATATTCTAGCCCGCTTATTAAGCCTTGGTTCTTCCTTATTTGAAGATCCATTTGCAATTTCATAATTTCGTTTATTTGAACTTACCGTTTCCTTATCTTTGCAAGGGAACACGTTTTCAAAGAATACTGCATTCTTTGATTCAATTGTGGTGCCCTCGTGAACATCTTGAACTTCAGATCTGCGTACAAGGAAGCGATATGCACTACTATTATTGGCGTATTCAATAAATATGCAATCAATCATCTTAGGACCAATTTTAATTCGCTTAGGTTTAGGAACTTCAACTTTGCCAAACACTCTCACACTTTTAAGTGTTGGTAAGAAGGATGATGACATTTTCATAACTCAAATAAAGTCTTTTCCATTTTCTTAAACGGTATCTGATTGAGAAGACTTTTTGCCCTTAAAATAGCTTCCCTCCACAAGTTCTGAAGTAAATCCAAACTTATCAATATTGCATTCATCAACTCTTTAGGAGTTCGATTTTTGCGTTTTGCAACACCATTCAATTGAGGAAAGTATGGTGCCGTTGTTTGATTAATAATTCCATGTTCAGAATAGAATTCTTCAAATGGTGCCCCATATTCCCATCCTTGATCACTACAAATATTCTAAATTCGTTTGTCAAGTTGGGTTTCAACTTCAGCCTTATATAGTTTAAATGCATCCAAGGTTTCGTCTTTACTTTTCAAAAGAAAGACATAACAGTACTTTTTACAATCATCAATAAAAGCTAGAAAGTATTTCTTACCACCTCTAGTTTGAACGAATTTCAAATCACATATATCGTTATGGATTAATTCTAGAGGTACCATGTTTCTTTGAACCGAATGGAATGGTGCCTTAGCCAATTTTGCTTCAACACACACTTCACATTTGTGATTAGGATCAATTTCAAGTGTCGGAATTAAATTTTGACTTAATAAGTTTGCGCAATGAATTGTAATTCGTATGTTCTAATCAATTATGTCACAAACAAAACTCAAGCAAGTAAATAGAATTTGTAACTTGATTCATAATGCCTTGTTTCGGTACAACAGCTAGAACGTTCATTTTGAACATTCCATCACACGTGTATCTTTTTCCTATATACATCTTATTCTTAGACAACACAAATTTATTGGATACAAATACAAGTTTAAAAACCATTTTTACCAAGGAGAGACCCGGACACAAGATTCTTGCGGATATTCGGCACATGTAGGACATTATTGAGGACGAGTTCTTTTTCGGATGTCATATTCAAAGTGACTTTACCTTATCCTTCAATTTTGGAACTTGCAGAGTTCCCCATGAACAGTTGCTCACGTTACAGTTCTTAATAGTTGGAGAACATCGACTTAACAGCACATACATGACGGGTTGCACGGGTATCGACCCACCATTCCCTCAAATTTCCAACCACGTTGCATTCAGACACAACCACAGATACACTCATCTCTTGCATTCCTTCAGAAATGTTGTCTTTTACCACCATGTTGGCTTGTGCATTCTTCCTTGGCTTTCCACAATCCCTTGAACGATATCTGGCCTTTCCACATTATAACATTTTCCTTTGAACTTTTTCACATTCTTGGAGTTGTATCTATGCTGTGCATCATAGGAGAACTCGTTTCTTGTTTAAAGGCCTTTGTTCTGTTTCTGCAAAGTTTGCTCCAAGTTAATCAACGCGTTTCCTTTCATTTTTCTTATTGTCTTCCTCAATTCTCAAGCAGACTTTGAAATCTCTCTACAAAGGAGGGGGTTTCTCGATGATGGCAGTCACTTGAAATGATTCGCTTAGTTCCATCTTTTCAGCATGTATATCGTGCAAGAAAACTTGTGTTTCTTGCACTTGGCTTATCAGAGTTTTAGTATCTACCATTTTATAGTCCAAAAACTTGCAACAATGAACTATTTGGTTTCAAAGTCCTCGATTTTGTATTTCTTTTCCAATAAGTCCTATAGTTCCTTGGCCGAGTCCTTTGAACTATACACTGTATTGTCCAACCCACTCAAAATGTAGTTTTTGCATAGAAAATTCAAGTGCTTCCATGCATCCAACGCAATAATCGACTCACGATTATTTTCTCCCTCTTGTACGATTAGCGCTGTTTCCTTTAGAAATTTGGCTAGATTTAAGGTAGCGAGATAAAACAACATCTTTTATTGCCATCTCTTAAAATCCACGCCATTGAAAATTTTCAATTTTTCACCATACGGGATAGTGATGTTTTGCAGTGGTACAGCCATTGGTGGAACCACCTGTGGAACCACGTTGTTCGTAACATTTTGACTTGAAGTAACCACTATAGTACTCATTTTTGTTACACAAATAGAAGATTATCAAAATGCAAAGTAGGGGAAGGAATAGTGCACTAAGACTATTCCAAACAAAAGAACAAAGTTCAATTTAAGAATACCAAACAATCACCGACAAATATTGTCTTAAGATTGTTGGAACCGGGTTTATTTGTGAGTGGTCAGATGGTCGTTTACGTATATAATAAAAAAAACACAATCTAATCCCCAAGACGGTGATTAAACCACATATGTATAAGAAATGAAAATTTTAGTAGAAAACCACAATACCAAGGTAACAAAATAAAAGAAGAAGGAAAAGGAAAAGGAAAAGAGATCAAATCAGATGCAAGTGATGGTACTTTCTCTTTAAGACAATATTACCCCGCTACGGTGCTCATGGTTGACGGCACTTGTCTTTCAAGATACAACAAATTTGTAATTTTGTGGTAGTAGCATTCAAACCATAAGAATCAACGAACCCACGGAATTTCCTCTTTACAAAGGAATTTTATACAAGAAGAAGAGAGATTTTATAAGGGAAGAAAAGTGCTCAATGCAAAATATGAGATGATATACCCTTAAGGACGTCCAAGGGGTCCTATTTATAGACGAAGAAGGGGTGTGGATGAAGTCGTCCGAGCCAAATTGTGCAATCTTTGGAATAGAAGCAATACTTCATTTTCACTAGCTTTTCGCTCGAGCAACACTGCAAAAATTTGAACAGAGACTTTTTCGCTCAATTTTTGCCCAGACATCGCTCGAGCAATAACACCGTAGCTCAAGCGACGGTGTTATTTGGCCCACCATATTTTTATTCATTTTTTTCGTTTACTTCCTCCAACTTTTGAACTGCAATTTTTCATTCATCCGAAGTAGTTTCTAGTGTCCATATATACTACTATCATCTACTCGATGAGTAGAACAAGTTGGCCTATTGCCTTTCGTAATTTGACCATAGGATCAAGTCCGAATATTCGGTCGAATTTAACACGTTAGTCACACTTTCCAATTTTATATTTAACCAATTTCCGTCAATTTAGAAACCAATTTCCAACAAAAACATAGTGATTTAATGGATTCAAAATGGAAATAATGGGCTTAATAATAAAAGAAAATATCCATAATTGTCAAAAGAACAAATATCACACCAAGAGGAGAACCAGGACTGACAATAGATTGAACAATATCGGTCCGGTGACTTCATAGTGCGACTGTGGTCCAAATGGTAGAATCTCTCACGCACTCACGAAAAAAGATAATTTCTGCGTCCATGCGATGTCACACAGCTCATAGTTTCTCTTTTTAATATTTTGTCACTTTCTCAGGTTTCTTCGGACACCCTTGACCTTTCCCTCGAAGTTTATGTTTTGAAAGCTTATTTTTTCCTACTTTGTTTATTTATTTTATGTTTTTTCGCAAGTTAGATTTTTAATTTTATACTGGACTTTTAAGATGGTTTATTATGACAATATTTGTATTGCATATTTGTATTATCTTTCGAAGTATTTTATTGATTTCTTTTGAGGCTTACATCTTAAAATGCCAATTAAGCTTTTTCAACATTGTATCATCAAGTTTATGTTGTACATGATTCAATAGTATAAAGATTTGGTATTGTATCGAAGACACAAATTGTTAGAGATTGTAGTATGTCTACCAGAGATTGATCATCTTGTGACTAGATGAGGTTTTGGGTTTTAAATCCCAACGAGTTCAGTGATCTGAGATACATATATTTTTGGCGTCATCAATTTCATTGGAATAATAGAAGTTTTGTTGAAACTAGGTTGATTATAAGCATATGGTTAAAACAATAGAATAGAATCTTAATAGTTTAAGAAATATTCAATAAATGACACGTTATTAATTGTCCCTCGACATCTTTCTTTTTAGTCCTTGTAGCCGTAAGAGCATATTCACAGACAGTATTGACATCGTGACATGTCTTGGAGAGGCACCGCATCTCAATGAATTAATCTTATGCTTGTTATCATAACATTTATGTGCATGGAGTTCTATTAAAATAATCCTTTTTGATATTTCTTCGAAATGTTATTTCGAATGTAAATGTTTTGTTGATCATGAGGTTCATTTTCCAACGCCGCAAGTGGTAATAAATTTATTTGAATCGTTTTGTTTCCTGCATGCTTCAGGTCTTAATGGCAAAGGGTAACGTAGTGGCCTTATAATTTATATTGTTTATTGTTATTATATTTTCTTCTAGAATTCCACTGTAACATTTTAAACCTTAAAATTGTTATTTTTCTGATTTCCTCTGCAGAGGCAAAGGGCCAATTCCGGGCCACGGACTTGGAATCGCTGACCAAGAAGAAGCAGAGAGAGGACGAGGCCCTGAATCTCTAATATTTTTTTTTCTTCGGTTTCAAAATTTTCTCTCTGTTTCTTATCAAGGACGAGGCCCTGAAGGAAAAAACTCGTGCTGCTTCTGTCCATTCTGTGCCCAATCCGTGCCCAATCCTCCCGTGCTGAAAACTACCCCTCTTGTTCCTGAGATTCCTCATCAGGACAAGAGGAAGTGTTGGCCGAACATGAGATCTCTTTCTTTCAGAAGCAAACTGAAGCAATGAAAGGGGTAGAAACCCCAGGCTTACTTAGACTTCATTGAGGAGGCACACTTGGAGGACAATGTTGTTAAACCAGCTCCCTTCCTACCGCTGCCCAATAGCCCAAGTTGCCAATAAGAGCTGGCAGGCAAAACATAACCACTATCTTTCTTCCATGGATGCTCAGGATGCTAGCTTGATGGCTGCAATCTACAATGCTCGTGCTACAATATGTTCCATAAAAGCTGCAAGAGAAACCAAGCAGGAAAGGTTTGCAAGTGAAAATGCCAATAAAAGCTGCAAGAGAAACCAAGCAGGAAAAGTTTCCAAGTGAAAATGCCAGAAATGTTGCAGAGCGCGCTTTTGAAGAGGAAAGGGCTAGCCATAGCCGCTCCGTGATAAACCTTACGTCAACTCTTGAACAAGCGAAGAAATATTGGGAAGCGCTGGGAGAGAAGAATGCGAGGATTAAGAATCTGGGGGTGAAGCTTGCATCTACGGAGGCTAGGCTAAGGGGCCTAAGCTCGGAGGTGGTGGCGGCAAGCGTTATAACTTCACTTTTCTGTTTTAGATGCGACAGCATCTAAAATACTGAGAAATTAACGCTTCCAGCACCACCTCCAGAGCTTAGGACCCTTGGGTATAGCACCCTTGGGCACATTGCTCTTAGAGGCCTTCTGTGACTTGGACATCAACTCTGCCTTCTTCTCCTTCTTCAACCACCTAGGAGACTGAGCGAATAAATCTGATACCCTTCCCTGGTTATATCTTGGCACCACTAAATCGGCAAAGCTCTGTCCTGACAACCCATAATTAACAGGTGAGACAAACAAAAGAAAATTAACTCCGAAATTGAACGTAAAATCTATATGGAGTAGAAGCAAAACTTATTCAAAGCAAGACAGCATACACACACACACACACACACACACACATAACAAAGCAATAGACATTTGCGTCCTATATTTATCTATTTGACAGCATCTTCTAATTTTCAAAGTAAAACAAAAGAATTCTAGATTGAAACACCATATGCTACTGTCTAGCCACAGTAAAATATTAAATCCCCCATTAAATCTAAAATCATACTAAATTAACAGCCCATCTTTTTAAAATTGTTGTTGCTACCTTTTTAAATACCAATATGTCCTCCATCTAATAAATATTTTACACTCAACCTGTACGCGAATTTCACCCCCACCCTCCACCACCATTTCTACCCTAAAGTAGAAAAAAGTTCAAAATAGTCAAACAGATCCTTATGTGCAACAGATGACATATTACATATACACTAAAAATCTGAATTGAGCATTGGATTACGCATCTCATTACAGAGAGGGATGGCAGAACTCACTTGAGAACCATTGTTACAGTTGCCGAGCTCGCATCGCTTGGTTTACTCCCTGAAATGCAGGAACCCTAAGTGCACATTATATGGCCCCTGTTTGCCCCCATTATTTCAAATATTAATAGGTGGAATAGTATTTTTCTGAAAAACAAGTGATTGAAAAAGATAAAAAAAAATTCGATTTACGTGTAATATTATTTTATGAAATATTGTGTGGTTAAAAGAAAAAAATAAGATTTAATTTAATAGGAGCCAAACGAGGGCATAGGACTCCATTCTTGTCAAAAATACATTTTTGAATAGTATATTGACGAAAAAATATGTGATTAAAATAAAAAAAAGTTTTAACTTTGCATTGGAGTTGCTTTTAATATTCCCAAGTTCCCAACTTCTTATTTTCCACGTCGGATACTCACTAGAATATCATAAAATTTACTATCTATAAATAGGTGGGCCAAAAGTTGGGTAAAAAGCTATATGGGTCTTTTAACTTTAGGATTTAGAAGTTGACTAATATAAAAATTTTATCTTTCTAATTTTTTCAATTTTTGATCGGGTTATCAGATATCTGATAACATAGCAAATCGAATATGTATATAACAATCAAGTATCCGTTGGATCGGATCGTATAAGATAATTATTCTTAAAAGTATCGGATCAAATTTGGATAGATCCGGTCAATTTACAGCCCTAATCACAAATAGGCAAATAGCCTTGATAATGGAGAATATAAGTGGAAAAACTAATGTCATGTTTGGTATATTGTTTGGATATGAGGTATTATGATTGGACGAAATTAAAGAAAAAGAGAAACATATTCTAACGACATATTTAGTAGAGTAATGATATTCGTAGCCAACGACTGCATTAGTCATTCTACATGACAATTTGTTACTTAAGACTTTAATTTCTTATAATTCTATTGCCTCAATTAACAAGTAAATGTCTCAAATAATAAGCTGTTACATAGAATAATTATTGCAGTCACTAACTATGAATAACATTATTATGTTTAGTTCTATAAATTAAATATTGATATGCGTATCGAGACGTTTATATAAAGTAAAATTGGTTTGCATTAAACTCTTTTGGTGGGCTCAGCAGTCCAATAATTTATGTTGGATTTGGAAAGAGGTATAGCCATTGCTAATACTATTCAATCTGTTCCACCAACACCTTTGTCCGTTCAGACACCAATTTAAGCAAATGTGATATGACAAGAAATATTTAGCATGCCACGCTATTTGATTGGACAACACTACAAAAAAAAAAAAGCACTTGAAAAATAATAATAGAAATAATAATAATTATCTGTTTTAAGTTTAGAAAATTAAATAAATAAAAAAAGAGGGTGGCCCTAAATCAATTTTCCTTCACCAACGCCAGCTGCCTCAATTCCTGGAAAGGAAAACTTTGCATAGGAAAAGGAGAAAAATCATCGAATAAAACTGGACGTCCAGGGCCCTGGACGTCCAGCACGTCTCAAAATCATCAATCATCACAAGACAGAGAAAAAAGGTGCTTTTCCATTTTCATGCAAGAGCTTACATCAATATAAATAGGTGGTGGTTATTGAAAAGTTGAAAAAGAAAGGATATTTTTGTTGATTAAAAAAAAAAAAAGGTTGAATGTGGAGTACTTCTAGTTTGACATGAGGTAAAATTTCAATATTGCCCTTGTTAAGCTCCAATCATTGTGTCAATTTTGTATTCGAGTATGGAAGTTAACAAAGTAATGACCATTTTTGCCATTTTGAAAGCTTAAGAAAAAAGATGATACCAACACATCTCGTCCATATATTGTCGATAACCATAGGAGAGAATTAATTATTATTATTCCTACTGTTCAAATATTTAATAAAAAATCAAGGCACAACAAATTTCTCGTCCTTGCAATTGATTCTCTCATATCCCTTTATATAGTTTAGTAATTTCTCGAGAATGAAGATGCTTAACAAAGGCTATTATGGTCTCTCGAAAGTCTAATGAAAGACATCCTCTTCTTTCTTAAGAGGCCGAATAGATTCTAGGATAAGTGACCAATAAAAATCCAACAAATAATTGTTTGTAACCTACCTGTTGGGGCACATCCCGCGATTTACCTCCCTCACAAAACTCTAGGGGCGGGACAGTGAAGACCCTCAATGTTGGAGTTCAACCTTTAATAATTGTTTGTAACCAATCAAAAGATCTTCACAAAATCAAAAGAATCGAGAAAGAAAGTGACTATTCATATACAATTAACTTTTCCATGATAAATCAATGTCCCATGTAGGAGTAGGACCAAATCGTCCTTAAAGACAGCAAAACCTTGCTCCTACCACGTGCTTCTTGTCCACCTCCTATGTATATATTGATTGCCCATTCAGAATCCTCAGACACCATTGTAAGGCCTTAAAAATGTTAAAAGAAGTTCTCTTGTTTTTGTTAAGGGGCCCCAATGATATGCATGCAATGGAGTGATACGCCCTTATGAGCAGGGAAGAGGAGAGTGTCCTCTCATTTGTTGGCAACACATACATGTAGGGTTATTAATGGATTGGATTTTGATTTGAATTCGATCTGAATTCGATGAAATTAATAGAAGATGGATTTAGGGTCTCAATCAGATAGTCCGTTGACTAAATGAAGCAAATATGGATGTAAGTAAATCCGATCCGATTTATTATAATAATATAATATATTTTGTATATTAAAGCATAATTTATTACAATTTTTTTTTTAAAATTGATCTTATATACTTTATGAATTTTAATGAAGGACGTCAAAATTATTAAATTCCAATAACATTAATATATATTATTGTAAATTGTGTATTCAGAAAAAAAATAAAGAAATTAATGTTGAAACATGATAATGGGCTTGACACTTTCGTCCCAATCCATATGCCAATCTGACAAATGATAAAGATTAATAATGGGCGTGACACTATATCATCTCTTTCGGCCACGTTTAACGTTTTGGTTCTTGAACATTCTTCTTTCTTTCTAATTAATTCAAAAAACCTTTCCTATTCTCCACCGTAGCTGAATCAGATTCAATCAGATGGAAACCCATGGTATTCTCCATCTTTAATTCATTTTTACGTCTCGACTCTTCATCTCTACACAGCAGGGATGATATTCTTCCAAAAATTACGGTTCCTTCTTTTTTTATTTTTCTTTGTATGTCATCTCCAACACTAAGATTTCATCAGCATTTCAATTTCTTGAAATGATATTTGTTTTGTACAACCTTTATTCTTAAACATCTTTTTTTGTAGGCGTGGTGGACTTGTGGTAATATGATATGGAGATAGAGCTCAAACTTCAAAAGCTGCTCTTGAGAATTTTTTCATTCGTTTTTGTTGCTCACTTGAACGTTTGTTGGATATGTAGTCATTGCAATATTTCATATCTTGGTTCTTTTTGGTATCATCATGTGGATTTTTATTGAAATTGACAATAGGTTAATATGGTTATTTTCTTTTATTGCAATAAAAAAATGTGTAAAATATTTCGGATCGGATATCCGATAATTTAGTAAATTGGATATGAATTTAACAATCTAATATCCGTTGGATTATTGGATCAAATCGGATAGAATAATTATTCTTATCGAATCGGATCGAATATGGGCAGATCCGATCCATTGACAGTCCTACCCACATGCCTCTTAATGTATTATGTGATTGTCGACATTAGGCCATGAACTTGTTTTTCAAGCAAAAGTGATTTGAATCCAAGAAATTTATCAGATGGATGACATCATATTAAGTTTCAACCAAATAGTGCTAAATTATGATTTCTAATATAAAAAGCGAAAATAATCAAGGGGAAAGCCAAATGTGTAAATAATCAAGGGGAGACCCAAATGTTTCAACCAGATGTTGGTATATAAGGCATATAACTGAGGACTATGACACGCAGACTGACGAAATAGCACAACTAGCACTTAGGTTACCTAGTGGAAGCTCCTCAACATTCAAGTCGCTCGAATATTTTGAGATATACCTCAACAGTGAGTAGTCCTAAATGAATGTTTACCAAAACAAAAACAAGTTTTTACAATGTTGTAACACCATGTATAGGTGCAAACACCTGCCAAGTGCTGAAAGGTCAAGGAAGTTAGAGACCTAATGACCTTGATGTAGGTGATTGAAGGACGTGAAGGATGACCGTAACTACAACGGTCTAAGGTAGCACAATTTCTAGTCAGTTATGTTTCGAGCATGAAGCAATCACTTGGATGTAATTATAGGCACATCAGTTACCCTCCTTATTTGGTGCAGAATGTTATGCCCATTTGGACGAAATTTCACTTAGTAGGGTGAAAGGGAAATTCATCCTCAACAAAAATGATAATGTTTACATCTTGCCATTTAAACTGTTCCTTCAAGAGGGTTCAAACGCCAAGTTATGAAATTTCAATCTCAAATCATTTTTTCATAGCTTAGCCACTGAAAGTAATAGAGCATCGTCTTGCCTGATCAACGTAGTATAAATATGCATATGGACTCCGTTTATTTCGAAAACTGTTAAATGAGCCACAGCAGAATAAATAAAACCAGGAGAGTTGATATGATTTTGGATGGGCAGCCGAGTTTTCAAGGGTAGTTTAATTATGGTAGACTTCTATTATATTTGGTATTTTTATTATTTTCAATTTTTTCTAGGATTTTAGAGTTTTATTCCATTTTAATTACTCTCTAGGGTTTTAGTATAAATAGGCTTTTGTTTCTTTCATTGTATTTCAAGACTTTTACAATGAATTAATCGAGATTTCTCTTTCGAAGCTTTTGATTCAAAATATGAACTTATCAAGATTTAATATCTTGTGGCGTTCAAACAAAATATCGGGTTGATTTCTCTAGATTGCGTAATCAAAAGGTCCTTCGCGTCGCCGTTACCATTGGGTTGTTTGATTCATTAATTCTTTGGGTCAAATCTACAAATCCGGAGAAGATTTCAAGATTGTGTGATTAAGATGTCGTTCGTTTCATATACGTGCGGCTGCTTAGTTCACTTTTGCGGGTTGATTCCTAAACCTTGGTCGTATTTGGGCATTATTGGGATCCGGTGTCAATTCCTGTGGGTTCGATTGTAACCTTGCTAACTGGGTTTGCATCATTCGGTATTAGAGCTAAGGCACCAAGATCAAGGTTATATCCCTTTTAATTCTTGTTGAGTCAGTTGTTCTTTTCTTATTGTTCTTCGAGTCAGTCCATAGTTTCAAGTCTTTAATTCAAAAAGTTACCAAAAAAAATTCGAAAGTTGGCTTTGAATTCCATTTGCTTCCAAATCAACTTTCGTTCGTAAAGAAAGGAATGAATTCCCACAATTGATACTATTGCAGATCCACCGACGAAGAGTTGTCACAGTATAAACATGATCGGCATGTAGATTCTTATGATATTAGATACATAAGTGATTAGATCTAGTGCAAGTGGAAGTTTGTAAGTGTTATAGCTTAGATCCAATTAACCTTGGATAAAGACACTTTTAATATAAAATTGACACAATTTTATGGCAAGTCTATTATTTATTTAATATTGAATATTAAATTAAATAATATAGTTCGTATATTCAAATCTCAATAATTTGTTAATCACAAGGAGTTGTGATTATAATATACAAATTACATATGATTGAATTTTAAATCATCAGTGGTCGTAAATAATAATGAGATACAGACATTATTATTATAGATACACCATCACATGTGGCATTTCTTACTTGTGAAGTAAGTTGTTGATCTCACAAGCTAAAAAGTGGTGAAACTTAAATAAACACGTGGATATTTTGTTATAGAACAAAACATTAGAGACCCGTTGGGATATTCCACATTGATAACTATCTGAATATCAGTATTTAATCTCTAACGTTCGATAGTGGAATTGGTCCTTCGACTTGAGGTTATCATAGTACCTTATATGAGGACAGTCATACTTTGACAATGTTAGATGTTGCTATGCCAAAGGTCACTAATACGGTAACGTTCAGGTATGTTAAGAATCATATGAAACTTGTGAATGACCGATCGAGGATTCGTCACTCTTAAATAGTAAGAGATTATGATTTGCATTTCATCCAATTGGGTCGATAACAAAATCATTGGCCAAGGTTTACTCATAAATCGAAAATGAGTTTTCGACTTGTATTGACTTAATAGTTGAGTGAAAGATATGATTGATAATCGAGATTGACACATTTTCATATCTTGTAATTAATCGGATCATATTGACAAATGGATTATAGTTTCATGATAAACGAATAAGTTTGGTTATGTCAACCACATGATAGTTTTCGTCACATGTATTGTCCTAATACATTGCTAGATGTCACTTTGGGAAAGTGTGTGTGAATTTGTGATAAATTAAAAATGGTGTTTTAATTTATCGATTTTGATTTGATCAAAATAATAATTCACGTCGTTAGGCGTCGTGATTGGGAACCTGATGGGTTATACACAAAAGGAGAACTGAAAGATTGTATTTTACCAATTAATTAATTTAACAAGCGTTGGATAAATTTATTAATTGGGTTACTTATTTATTGGTCCGAATTAATTGGATTAATTAGTTCATGGACCTGATTTAATTAAGTGGGTTAATTAAATCTTGAACCAATTTAGGAGACGGGCTAAGCCTGTTTGGGCTTGTATAAATAAGTGGATAGGGTTTTGGATCTGTAGAGATTTTATTATTCTTGCTAACACAAGAAAACCCTAGTTCTCACAATCTGTTTCTCTATGTGGATTTCCATTAGAGGTTGTACAATTGGACAGCAGTGGGAGGCAAATCAAGATTGTTGGAACAAAAGGAAAAGCAAAAGTTTGTAGAATTCTTCAAACTTATAATTTCTATCACAATTTCTATCTAAATACAAAGAGATCCTTGATAAAAATTGAAATCTATATTAATTTCTGCCGTGCATATTTAAGTAAATTCCCAACATTATGTTCTGGCAAGCATGTGTTGACAATAATTTTTTCGCAACTAATTTTGGCAAACATCTGGACCACAGCAATTGCAGTCAACGCAGAATTTTGGTTCACAATTGGAACATGATCTTACTCTCACCAATTTTATCAGGCTTGGAATTTTTCCTAGCACTTGAACTATACATCTACTCTTACAAACTTAAAACTAATTTACGTAAAAAACATATCTTCATAAACATAATTGCAAGAGATCACTGTAGATTCTACTGTACTAAATCATTTCCAATAAGTCGGCATAGATTATTTATTTATTTTGGTAAATAGCTTGTTTTCATTTCTACTGCCCTATTGGTCATCATCAATTTCATACACGATTCTTATTGTTGCTTCACAAACTCATTAAGTCGTCCAGCAATTCAATTAAATTAGGGTTGAGATGCTCTTAATTATGATAACTTTGCATCAAATAGGACTTCCCTAACAAAATTTGTAACTTAGGGGTAGGCAGAACCCATTCGTTCGATTTTCCTCATTATCAAATCAAACCAAACCAAACTTATTTTACACAAGGAACCACTTGGTGGTTCCATAAAACAGGAATTATACTTTTGATTTTGTCTTTTAATTCTAAGAAATTCGTTACCTTCATAATCATCAGATCTTTCATTTGGTTGATCAAGAAATTCAAGATCTATAGATGAATCAAATATGGTTATTGCAATAATCAAATCATGTGGCTTAGTCTTCCAAATCAGCACGTAATCTCCTTTTCTCTCTGTGATGGGATGTAGAAGAGAACGAACAAAATAAAATCTCTCTATGTGTGATTCGGGGACCATAATTGTACTTATATACTAATCTCTTTTGACCTAATTCGGCCCATCATAAAATTAGGAACTTGGGCCTAGTCTATACACATATAGAACCCACACTTTAATTGGACGCATTACAGTCCAAAATCGAAGCCTTATTAAATAACTTTAAATGGCCTAAACCAAATTCGATAGCCTTTAATTTAATACGCCCTTTTCTTTAGAAATTTCAGATTCAAAGTACTTCATGTTAATGAAAGAAAAAAAAAGGCGAAGTAACTTTATGTAGGAGTATAATAGTTTGGGCGATAAAACATGGCTAAAGGAGGTGAAATTCGGTTTTCACAATACCATAATATGGTTTGTAAAACATAAAGGGACGGTTTCTTTATTTCTCCTAGGGAGTGGCCGTGTAGTTTCATTTCAAGAAATGGTAGCAATTTCTTTTATCAAGAAATGGTAGCAGTTATTGTTTTTAAATTTTAAATGAAAGTGACGGTTGGCATGGAACTTGTAAATTGATTTTCAAATGGAAGTTCACAAAAAAGGTATTGGTTTGTGGATAATTACACACTAATGGCAGTTTTAATTTAAATTCTAAGTGAAGTGGCGGTGGTAGTAGTATTAAAAAAAATGGAGGTTACACTTGAGGAAATGGGAGTGGTTGTTGTATTTCAAAATTGGAGGTTATACAAGTGAGTGGGGAGGTAAAAATTTTAAAATGTTTACTT